GAAATCTATCTCAAGCCAGTTCTCACGAGGAGAATGGGTTGCATAAACTAAATCTCTTTTTCTTTTCTTTACTTCTCAGTCTCCAAAGTGACTTTAATTATTATCTTAATTATACATGTAAAAACATATTTCATGATAAGAAGAATACAATGTTATATATTATCATCTTCTTTATCATATTCTCTGACTGTGAATAAACTGTGATTCTCCCAATAAAAGTATGAAAATAGAACAATAGTTACTATAAATTAATTAGGAAATAAGTGCTCACTATCATGAAATCAACAGCATCTATCATTTTCTTGTTGAAGTATGAATCACATTGCTTGTACTATTTTATTCCCAGGTTGCTATAAAGTTCATATACAAAGGACTTCAGATGACTGAGGTTGAGGATCATGGCTTATTTTTCTTTGTGTCATTTATGATTAATACAGTGCCTGGGAGGAATGTAACAGAAGCTTAAGATATTTTTGATTGATGAAAAACTCTAATGAAAAATATTCTTCTATGTAGTTGAACCAATAGAGACTCAACGACCCTACAGGTTATAACTGCCCTTTATGGTTTAAAAGGCTGAAATCTTTACAGAACACTGAAATTGTATTACATAGACATAAAAGGATATATTTTATATGATTTGCTGCTATTTAACAAGGAATAAACCTCTATGTAGATAAGATAATTGCTGATCAATAAAAATATAGAAATATTTTTATAGGATTTATTTTCAAACAAAATTAATCTTATTTGACTAGTGCAATACTGTTTACAATGCCAAGGTTATTCAAATTTTTAATATATTCACTTAAGTGACATATATATATTCATATGAGACTTTTTTGGCTTGTTATATGTCCTGCTTTGTAAAAAATGGACATAGTATTAAATTTATAATTTAACATGTGCTTTTTAATATTCCTGAAGGAGACTAAATCTGCATAAATCATTTTTCACAATAATTTTGTCCAAAGAAAATCAAATCTCTTTGTTAGATGAATGTTCTCTATAATCTTCAAATAGAACATGCTGCATTGGGGAAATGTGTGGACTGTGGGTTTCTGAGACGAACTTCGGTCTTTGTTAGACAGAGTAGAAAGCCTCATCTTTCCTAGGCTCCTGAAACATACTCGAGAGGCATAAGTCTCCTGGGTGGGTAGTATTCAATTGAAAAAATTGACACATTTTAGAGAAAATAAAGTATTGCAGGATAGTTTTTCCTCAATATTCAAAATGAAAATCTGTTTGAAAACCTAATTTGTCCAACTATTTATCAGAAACTAAAAGTTATTATTAGGAATATGAGCTTTCCTTTACACAACCCAAGTACACTCACCGTTATATCTGAAAAGAAATTCTAATTTTAGTTTGGTAATAAATATTTTGTGATTTGAAAACGTTTTCATTATTTTTAATAATCATAGAACAATTAAGTTCGAAATTTTCCTTTGGAAGAAGTCAGTGTGGCAATCTAAATCACGAGAATAGCTTTATGGATTCAAAGCTTTTTCTTTAAGTTGAAAACTGCATCAACGTCAACTCTATTAATGTCAATTAGGACTTACTCTTTCCTAAGGAATGCCTAGGAAACGTGCTCAGTATCTGCTCAGGGGACTAACCAGTTAATAAACAGAAAGTCACACTGGATGTTGTTATACTAACCAAGGAAACTTCTAAATTAGTCTAAAGGTTTGTGGTTTCATGCTTATTTTTATTAAATCATCTTAAAAAACCATATGAAGATACTTTCTGCAGTATGTAATTCTTCCACCCACACACATTGTTATTTTCTATGTATTTATATTAATTATAGCAAAACAATTTTCAAAGCTCCCAATGGACCTCATTTATAAGAGCACCTGAGAAAATATTTTATTTTTAAAATTCTATTCTAAATTATGATTTCTGAAATCCTGTATTTTACTTAAATAATAAAACAATTTTAACCCTTAATGAGTGAAATATTTTATTTCCCTAAGCTTTATCTACTGAAAGCTATTAAGTAATCTCTAAGGTTTTTTAAGGTTTTATTAAAGATGAAGATATGGATTTATGGTTATATGTTCTCTGAATATTTGTCTAAAATTTGGGCACCCACCTGAGGAAATTTTTAAAATAAATTTTGCCTACATTTGAAATGACTTCTTTTTGCCACACAATATTTGATTTTAAATAATAATAGGATAATTGAATATTGAGGGAAAAAAATCTCTATGGGGTTTATGTATTAAACCTCCCGTTTTTCACTGGTATCCAAGGTCCTTCTCTAAATCTATTTGTAATTTCTCAAGATTATTTATATTCTGTTTCTAAATATACTATTTAATTCTTTTATTTGTTTATTTGATCTCTGTCCAATGAAAAGCACATAAGCAAGATATTGTACAATGACAAATTCATAGCCACTGCAGCAGAGCTGCAGGGGGAGCAGAGTGATTAAACCCCCAGGAAATACCAAAAATAGACGGGAGACAGAGTGTGGCAACCCATTAGACTCGACTAGAAAACACTTGAAAAGGTCAATAAAGAGACCTTGAACTACTTATAGACTTTTCCATTTTTGTCAGTGACTTTCTTTTTGTTATTGTTATTTTGTTTTTTGCTGTTGTTGCTATCATTTTGTTGGTTTTGACTTCCTTTACTGTTTTATTTGGCTTTGCCTGATAAGATAGGTGGATAAATAATTTGGAAATAAAAAGAACGGGACGAATGGTTCTTGGGGGATATGGGAGAAGGGGAGGTGGGAGAAAGGAAAGGAGGAGGGGACCAACTCAGGGACAAGGGAACAACAAGTGAACTAAAATCAGTGGAAGGAAGGTCATA